ATGAAGGCTCTTCACTGACCTGGGCTACCTCTCATCTCTTAATAAGCACGCATTTCTCAGAAATTCTGTTTTCCTTGGGGCCTGCTAATAATTTATCACATTAATCTAAAAGACTATTAGACTGGAAAAAAGTAAGTCAGAGTGCTGAACTGGGGGAGAGATCAATGAATCTAAGATAAATCATTGCCCTCGCTAAACTGAATGGGAGCTAGTCCATGAAGTGCACTCAGTGATGAAGTGGTGAAAAGAGGGGGAGAACCCACTGCAGTGCAAGAAATTTCAAATGTGTTTTCCTCATTTCAAAACAAAACCAGAGGCTTTAAAGATGTGATGACGAAACTTTTGGTTTTCAGTCAAGTGGGACTTGTCCAAAGCTTTTAATCAGTTTCTGTCCACCTGGACTTGAATTTGTGGAACCTCACCTTGAATTCCAGGACAAAAGGAAATGTGGTTTGTGGTTTGTGCCCTGGCTGAAGAGTAAGGAGATGAGAATCCAAATCTTGGCTCTGCCACAGACTCTCCTTTGAGATCGGAGGTGAGGCGTTGAATATCCCTGTGCGTCAGCTCTCAAGAATGAGCCCTACCAAGCCTTCATGCCAGGTTATGTGATATTTCTTTCTATCTAAAAAAAAGTCAGGAAAATCAAGGTGTCCCAAATTCCCTCACTGGTTCTGAAAACATAGATCATTGACTATTACGGAGTGGAGTAAATCACAACACTATGCTGCAATCACACCCAGACAGAAGCAGGGTCCAAACAGCCCTCGGCCAGGCAACTTCTTGGCAACTTCTTTTGAAAGGACATAGGAGAGCATCAGGAATGATTGCAGGACAGACCTGACAGCACTGAGTGGTTGTATACATCCCTTAATGTAGAGCTGGATGGGAGCAAGGAGATAAAGCAATGGGAGAGAGGTCAGCTGGGGTTTCCATCAGCAGTTAATGCTCCATGCAGTACTGCTTACAACAATACCTTTCTTTCCTAGTACTGCTCCTTGCCCTCTGATGTCCCTGGTGTTATGTGGCTGCACGATGGATGCAGATCAGGCATGTGGCAGCAGATCGGGGAGCAGACAGAGCTGGAAAGTAAACCTCCTCCAGAAAGACTCTCAGGCGGATCAGATCTCCCATTTGGTTTGCCATTTGGCCCTGTCCATACTTGCAGGCAAAGGGCAATACGCAATAGCAAATGAAGCAGTGCTTTCTCTGCATGCACATAGGTTCTTAGCATCTCCGTCACCGTGATTCACATCTGCTCATCCCTTGCTAGCCAAGGGATGTCTCATCAAGGACATATGCTTGTGCTGAAATCACCCCTTGCTGTAGAGATGCCCTGTAGGGCCAGTTCCAGACGTGACATGCAGCTAGGAGCCCACGGGCCTCCATCTTCTCCTTGCCTAAGAAATGAGACAAGACTCAAATCTGGGTGTGAACTCACAGTGTTGAGGAGGGCAGGTTTGCTGGAAAAGGTACTCAGAAAGATCCTTGGAGAAGCAGAGCCTGCCTGCAGAGATGCACGTCCTTCTTCCCCATGGCTTAGAGAGTCACCAGAGGGAAGTGTCCACACGTGCCTGTGGCAATGGGTGTGTCTCTCGAAGTCTTCTTCTGGCTCCATTCTACAAGCTTTAACCTTGAATGTTCAGGGCTGCAGGACTAAACCCCACAGCAGAGACGTTCGAGCCAGCCATCAGGCTGCAAAACAGTCCTCACTAGTTGTCACAGAGCTCGTGTAAGTGTCCAGTGGAAAGCAGATTTATAACAGCTGTGGGGATTGAAGGCCTCCTTTCCTGCAACCTCTGCCAGTAAGAATTTTCCTCTACAAGCAGGTCATAAGTTGAGCAGTTGAAATCCAGTTCTTCTTCCAGTGTCTTTTTCAACGCTTTCAGACAAAGTGAAGCAGAACTAATGGAAGATATCTCCAGCTCCCTTTTCAGGGTTAACCATAGAATCATAGAAATTCTGACTGGCAGGAACATCTCTTGTCCAGCCTCCTACTCAAAGCCAGCACCAGATCAGGTCAGTGATGGCTTCCTCTAGACAAGCCTTGAAAACCTCTACAGATGGAAATTCCACCACCTATCCAGGTAACCCATTTCTGTGCTGCACTACCATTCTAATGAACAGTAATTATGTCATACTACTGCCTAAGCGATAAGCGGTTCATCTAAATAGCAATCCTAAACTCAGTCTGTGATCAAAGGCTGAAGACAGGTGGGAGGCAGGTGTGTGCGTGTGTGTGTGTGTGTTTTAAGAGGCTGGGCTGTGCCTGTTCTCTTCAGCCCTTTGATTTCCAATCAGATCAATAAATCACTCCAGGTCAACGGGTGCTCTGCTCCCCGCACTCTGCAAACATGCCTCTCAGCTAGGCTTGTCTCAATTCAAAGATAAAAGTGAGTCCTTGGCTGCTCCATCAGAACTTTCAGGGAAGGCCAGGTCTTGCCAAGCCAAAATATAAACACATTGTGAGAGACAAATTTTGCCCCGCACTGCTGAAAATCCAAAGAGAGGGCAGAAAGCAGACCTGGAGGGGTGGCAATGCAACCCAAGTCCTCCCAGGAAGTTAGAAGAGACAGTTTTTCTGCCACGCAGGTGCCACTCTTCAGAAATGCTCTGCACAGTATCACAGGAGACTGCCTGAAGGTTTGGGGTGGCCACCCAGGATTCACGTTGTCCAAGTCAGGGTTCCTGTGCCCCCGTAAATTCTGTCTGCAAGTTGAGGCTGGTGCATCTTGTGAGCAGAAAAATGTGTTGCCCTTCCCAAGCCTTTTCTTTTGGTACTGCAGTGAGGGAACAGGCAACGGGATTAGGTCCTCCATCTGGCTGAGAAGGGCACAGCCGTATGCATCCTCGGGTGATTAGCACAAATAGAAACCAGGCCCCTGTTTCCATATCATCAAAGGAGGAATGGACTTAAACACTGTTTAACCCTGGGCTCTGAAGCCCTTGCAAAGAGACTAAGCTCATGAGCCTTAGCCAAGCAATGAATTGCATTAGAGCTAATGCTGTGCAGATTATGGCCTTTTGTTCTGTCACCCCTCATCCCACAAGAGCATGTAAAACCATTCATTTCCTAGGTTCCTAGAGCACGAAGGAATGGGCATACCACAAAATAAGGTTCAATTAGCCTGTTCACAAACCAACCCTTGGCTTTGTCACGTCATGCGCCCAAGGGTGCTTCTGCAGCCTAAAATCTCTGGATGGAGGCTCTTTTGCAAGATGGGAAAATCTTTTCTAGATCTTGCAAAATCTGCAAGCATCAACTCTTTTGCAGATTAGAGACACTCCGGCAACTTAATTCCTTGTTTGTGATGTGCTAGTGTGAGTCCCCTGCGGGTCTTTGGGAGAAAGTTTGGTTAGGAACCATTCTGCCTTTAGATTAGGGGATCTCTTGCTGATTCATATGATCTAACTACCTATTGCTAATGATTTGTTTGATTCTTTAAAGCTATGGGCATTGACATCAAGATAATAATGATCTCCCCTTTTGTCTGTACTATTTGGGCACAAACAGAGATTTGTTATAGGGGATGAAGTAGACAGCCTGAATTTTATTGCCCCTCCAGCTCAGAATAGTGTTTTCCAAAACCAGGAGTCAGTATGGGTCCATGAAATATCTAAGTGATAAGGAATTTGGATTCCTTTTTGTGCAGTCAGTGGAAGAGCTAATGCTGGCCTTGTATTTGCAGAATTAGGTCTCAAAACAGGACCAAGGGGATGTTTGCAAAGCCCCGTGATTTGATTCCTTTGCTCTGCTAAACTGACTATGGTGGAGAGTCCAGCATCTGCTCACTTGTTCTTTTGCAGTCACTGCCTCCCCAGCCCTATCAACACCACTCTTGCTAATCAAAGAGAGAGATCGATATAAAATGCTAATGGTCTCGTAGAAGGCCTAGAAACTAGGGTGTGAGAGCAAGACCAGCTGGTTGATGTCACCAAATCCCAAGGTAGGCGGGTGATCTAAAGTACAACAGAAGGAAATACCTTTGCACATGTGCTTTTTAATGAGGTGTTAACTGAGCACTGGGTGAACAGGACAAAGAAGCACAGAGGATGTGGCTTGAGGTTTTGGCTGATGTAAAACTGGAGGCCTGGAAGAAAATGAAACCTGGGCTTTTATGGCCCCTTGCTGTGATCTCTAACAGTAGAGAGACACTAGGTAGGCAGGTACCTCTGCTCCAAAATCACAGCTCACTTTAGAAGGCTTTCCCTTGGGTGGTGATGCAGTCTCCAGCTACTCTAGGCAGTGATAGCTGTGGGAAGGGGGATCACTGAGATGCGAAGATGGGAGGCAGTCTGGTTTGTTCCCTCCTCTCAGGCAAAAGAGGGAGAGAAGACAGAATGCCTACCCAGGACTCACTGGGTTGGTGCAGGATGCCAGAGCTTACAGCCCCAGTCCCATTAATTAACAGCTGTGAAACTGAGGAAGGATGATTACTTTGCAGCCTATGTAAGACAGCTTTCTCCCCTTCCTCTCCTCCCACCCCCACATCTGGTAATGATTTAGCAGCTTAAAATAGAACGGAAGTGGAAGAGAGGGACTAAACCAAGCTCTGACCCATTCAGGGAGAACATATAGCGGTTCCATTAGAGGGAAACACAGGAGAGGTGTTGGAGGGTTGCTTTGCCTCCCACAGCACCAGTGTCTTACTGAAAAGGATCTTCAGGAGAATAGATGGCTGATGGCATCCTCCATGCATTGCCTGGGCATTGGGTATAGTGAAAGGGCTATAAGCCCATGATCATGACTGTGGCATCCTCTTGACCCCCCTGAATACAGTATTTGGAGTTTTGGATTAGGAGAAAGAGGCTGCGACAAAGTTACTTTTGAACACCTTGTGCTGTAAGTCTTACTAATAGCCCAACCTGAAACACCAGTCCCTTGTCCCCTCGAATGTTCTGCATAATGGACTATGAGGAAGGGTTGGGGTTGATCAGAGAGGCGCCTAGCTCTGCCCTCCCAGCCCCTGCCATGCCGCCCAGGTTCCTGTAGGAGCACTCACCATGCACCTTGGGCACCTTGGCTTTCAGGTGTCGTTCGCACTTGGCCTTGGCTTTTAGCAGTAGGAAGATCTGCTCCTCTTTGGTGATGACATCATCAGCATCCACCTGTAGTGATGAGGAGACAAGAGGTTAAACCTCTGCACGGGAAGAGCAGTAGGACACAAATGTCTTGGATAATCCCTTCCATTAACAGTTTCGTCCATCAGCCTTGCTCTGTATATCTCAGTTTGCTCAGCAATTAGCGTCCCAAGCAGTGCCCATTCCAAGATGTCACATGGAAACATCTCTGTACATGGCAGAGGAAGGGTGCAATGCAATTGCTCACATCACAGATACCTGCACGCACACAGGAAGGGAGAGATTTATAGGGTAGTATTACAAGATTGCAGCTTGGAGGGATGAAGCTATTATCCAATGGGATGGAAAAAATATCGGTACGCTATAAAAACTGGCCCTGTTGGGACATAGGAACATAGGTAAACATAGCACTCAGGGAATGGCAGAGCAATGCTGTGTCTCCTGACACCCACCTTGTCCTCTTGAAGAATACTGCCAGGGATTAGAAGTACCAAGGCCTCCTCTCCCTTTAAGAATTTCAACCTGCCATCATTAACGCAGTGCTATTTCCAGTTCCTCATGGAGGCCCTTGGCCACATGGCATCAAGATCTATCAACATCCCATCCTCATCCAAGAACATGGAAGGGGCTGCCCAAGGCAGGGCCATGACCTGAGGGCATCTGCCCCCCCAGAGTCTAAGGGCTCGGGAGGAGGAGGCTGCAAACATCACGCCGGAAGGATTAGGTTCCTCCTCCGACGTGTGCTAGGCATAAGGTCTCCAGAGGACAAGGCAAAAGAGGAGTGGGGACAGGAAGGGGGGCAGGATTATGCAAGAGAGCAGGGATATGAAGTCAGCGACAGTCTTGGGGTGGAAATAGCACAGGGTATTTCTCATACTCCTAGGTTTGAGTTTGCCTTCCTCTACACACATAGACAGCAGTGGAAATGTGAGGTGAGAAAAGCAAAAATCTTTCTGCTATTTAGCGGGACTCCCATGCCACAGTGTCCCAGCAGGCTGCAATCTCCCAGAACCTGCTTTATCCTCCTCCATTTGCTGCTTGCTGATATGTGATGATAAAAGGTCCCCAAAGACACTTGTTAGCTGTCAAAAAAAACATTTTGCTTCACAAAGATGGCACATTTCTGTCAGCACTGCTAGCCTGGGGAAGCTGGGGGTAAAACTGAGAGGAAGGCTCGTTCTATAAATGCTTTGGTTCTTATATTGGATGGACCTTTGATCTTGAGCGGTATGGCTGTTCGTACTTTCTGATGTGCCTCTTGGGCACCTGGCTTGTGAATCCTGCTCAGATATTCAGGGCCAGTCCCACTTGCCAGACAAGGTCTGAAATTAGGAGGAACTTTCCTTCAGGTCGGTTTGGCAGGAGTGGGGAGAAATTTCACCATATCCATCCCACCTACTCTGAAATTACACTGCCTTTGTCCTCTCTTGCTTTTTTTCTAAAAGCACATTATACTTAGCCTTTTTCTATAGCCTGTACATTCATTTTCTGCCCCAGATTTGAATGGGTGGTGCAGAGCTTACCCTCTAGGGGCTTTGTGATTTGCATCGTAGAAGGGCACGAGGGGTAGATGTGGAGCTCTCTGGGCTATATCCATCTGGTCTCTTATAGAAAACAGCATCCTTTTTTAAACTTACATTGACTGTGCTGGTGAGTCCAGCCACAGTAAATCTATCACGCACAATCTAGGGCAACATGCCACATCGGGATAGATGGAGCTGGACTAAACATCAGTATTTAGTGTACAGGCAGGCAAAGGAAAAGAATAGAAAAATCTGTGAAGCCAGTAGAGACCTTAACATGAGAAGGAAACCTCAAGATAGGTTGTAGAGCCTGTCTGCAGGGGGGACTGCTTGTCTGAATTCCGCTGAAGCACAGACTAAAGCGAGGTAGTGCCATTTCATTGTTCCTATAAAACGCTGCTATTGGAATTAAGGTGCCTTTGCTCGTTTTAACTTCATTCACTTTGGAAAGCAAGTGAGATGAATCAACTGAAGGCCAATCAGTGTTTGAGTAAGAGTTACTACAAATGATATATTGAGGGTTAATGAAATCCAACTTAGAAGTAAATTCAGATTAAATTTCCCCTATGTTCCTATGGAGAGAAACAGTGGATGTTTGAGCAGCTGATGTGCTAATAGGCACACAGATGGATAGCTAAATCTGATAAGGGAGTTCTAAGTAAAACAGAAGTTAGTTTTTCATGTCCCTGGAAGAAAATCACGCTAAAATCCTCCTTCAGAAGTGGGAGATGGTTTCAAAACCGCGTTAACGTTAATGCAAAATAAAGCCATCCCTTTCCAGATGTTTGGCCAGTCCACCTTTAAGGCAACATCCAACATTTCGACTCTTTCATTGGAAACATAAGACTCTGGGGTCAGATCCTGCTGTCATTTATAGCTGTACAAATCCTGAGTGATTCTACCAAAGCTGGAGGAGTTAGTGTGGATTTATACTGGCCAAATGGAGCAGAATCCGACCTCAGGCATTTCAAATGATTCATCTCTTGTGTGTTTCTTCGTCCGGCTTCTTTGGCCGTGCTCTGAAAGGGGGCAGCGAGAGACAGCTCCTGGCCAGCAGGATGTACGGTCTCCTGGCCAGGCACAGAAAAGAAGCTTTATTTTCCAGAAGGAGAGTTGAGGCACTGAGCGCCATGCCCAGAGCGGGGCAGGATGGCTGGGCAGAGCTCTGAAATGAACCCAGATTTTCTGCTTTCCTGAGCCAGTCTTAAACTTCCAACCTGTCAGAGCCTTAAAAAGTCTCCTCATTTTCTCCCCTCTCCCTCAAAAGCTGGTATAAATATTGCGAGATATTATTTGGCCACGTTTCTCTGTGTTTCTACTCGGTCAAGGAGGCTGAAACATATATAAAACCATACATATGAATAAGAATGGAGGTTCTCATGCAGTCCCGTGACTTGAGTAAACACCTATTCTCAAGAGACTCAAAGGAAAATTATGCAAACTAGCACTGCTGCTTCCTTATTGCTGAATCACCTGAGAAGGAAAACTGAAGTTGTTCCAGGACGTCTAATTGCAAGTGGTGCCGGACCTGTTTTCCTCTCCGATCCAGCTTGCACATTCCCATGCGCCAACACCCTTCACCTCCAGCCCTTGTCAAAACCTTTGCTGAGGCTTTTCAGGTGTCTGCCTGGCTGAAAGTTCCGCAGGGACAGGCGGGGAGACCCCTTCGTATCAGGGCGCTGAAACGGTTCAGCCTTGAGTTCAAGGGCCAGTTTGTGGGATCAGGCAGAAACTCTGCAACCAGGACAGGTGGAAACCAGACAAAGCAGTTGTGGCACCTGCAACCTGTTAGAGCACTTTGAGCTGTTCAATTCCACTTGCACTTGTGTGTCTAATTGTCATGCTCCGGGTATTTTGATCTTAAGACAGTGCTGCAGTACTCGTCTTTCCAGCCTAGCTGTCAAAGGTCAAAAGAAATCAATTGGAGCATTTTTTTTGCAACATAGGTGCCTTCATGGCATTAGACATATTTGGATCAGATTTGGCAAAACTTCCTCTTTAACAAATAATCTTGATACCTGATCCAAAAATACTGTGGAATGGCCTTGCTAAAACCATTAGCAAATGCTCATGCCAAATTTTTGAATATGAATATTCCTAGGCAATTAAATAAGTGGCTTTATTTTCAGAAGTGCTGAGGTGTGGGCTGCAGGCCTTCTTAAGAAGTGGGAGCTGCTGCTGGCAAAGCAGTCACTTGTCCGGAGTGTATTTGGGTCCCTGAGGTTGGGAGAAACACAGGGCTGGAGGTAGGGGTATGAGAGGGGTCTATAAAACACTGGATGATGCAGAGAAAGGGAAAGGGGAATAATTAGTAGCAGTTTTGCAAAAGTTGAGTCCTGGGACACACGTGAGGAAGAGAATGAGGTCTAAAAGAGACAGAAAGATGATGCATATAGGCAAATTGCAACAGTGGATTTAAAACAGGAGTAGCCAAATTCACAGGGGACAAATCCACCGCTGACTGTTAAACCCTGCAGCCTGGAGGCAAATTCTAGTGCAGGAAGGTCTTAAACTGTTGATCACCAAAAGCTGGGAGGTAATAACCAGTCTGCAAGAGCTATTTCTTTCTCTAAACGTCCTAAGCTGGCAGCTCCTGGGCATGGTCTGTTGGAATAGAAGGTTGACTCAGAAAGGCCATTTTAATATTCCTGTAAGCCTTTCATTTTGCCAAGGCCCTACAGAAACCTTGTGCCCTGATGAGTATGCAGGAACATGTATGTGCATTCAGGACATGATCCGATTTGGCATGCTCATCCCGACCTACTTTGATTATTTTATGCACCAGTTCTTTAGGACCACTGGGAAAGCTGGTCGAGAGGAGATGTTGGAAATGTTTCCTCCAAGCACACATTGTGGCTGCAACTCACCAAGACTGTCATATTCAGCACCACACACACACTTTGTATCTTTAATTGAGAACCTCTTCAGCTGTCCTAGAGCTCACCCATGTGCAACCCAGTACCAATATGCTCTTGCCAATGCAATGCTTCCCTTTTTGGCCAACTGGGGACATCTAGGGTAAGATTTTCCCATCTGAGATGTCTCTGCCTGAGGTATTCACCCAGGGTTTACCTCACAGTCACTGGAGATTTAGATATGGTGAGGTTCAACTGAGATTCATTCCATCCTCAAACCAGCATCTAAAATAGATCAGGTAGCTGTACTTTGTTTTTTTTCTCCATTGACTATAAAGGGAAATGAATCAGGTAGAGATACCTACATTTTGTGTATCTGAAATTAGGAAACAAATCCCATCCTATTTAGCCTATTCGCCTATTTAGCTGAGTCGTGATATTCTCGCGTGGCTAGGCATGAGCCATAGGTTAGTTACATTACTGTCCCTCTCTGTATAGTTGAAATCCCTGATTCTACCTGGACGATGTTTCCTCAATACCCTCCCTAGCACTGGAGGAAGGAAGCAAGGAAGATCATCTTCAGAGCCTCTCAGAATGTCTTTCTCATGGGAGAATTTAGACTGTGACTTAAGACTAGTTTGGTTTCAAG